AAGCGTAACATCCAGCGTAAGCTACAAGAAACTTTACAACCCTCATCTCCGCACTGCAAAAAGTCCAAAAACGTGTTGAAGATAAGGGGGGCGTTGTGCCGCCAGATACCTATGCCTCTCCCAGCAAGCATGAGGGAAATTGTTGTTGTGGTGGTGACTTCAACCGGCTGAGGGTTCTTCAGGGACCAAAAAGCTGGAGAATGCCGGTCTACATTTGCTGGCGCGAGGGGTGTGCGCGTTTGCGCGTTTCTTCATGACAGCTTGTGCAGCAAATACTACCAAATAACACACGGCCCTTTCAAACTGGCCAAGATGCAGTTCAGACACCAAAATCTTTAGCATTAGCAAAGAAACACCCATGTTAAGGGTCTTGAGGTGTGTGGCCTGGAAGAAACAAGGTCTGAAAATGTGTTCATCGGAAAAAGGTTTGAGTTCCTCACTAGGGTGAAGGCGAAGCCGGCAGCAGCGTTCAGCCCTTCAGCGCTTTCCATATTGAATGCTGTGACCCAGCTAAGCCCATTTTCTCGAGTATGTGGACACCATCTGAGATTCGAATTGCCAGCTCATAAGGTGGACTCCATCGGCGCCTTCTGAAATACTCAACATGAAGAAGGCGTGAATGCCAGACGCTGAACCCCCAGAAACACAATCTGTCTGAGCAAAGTCACATGCCTGTCGTTCGGGCTGGGAGAACTGTCCCCGGCCTGCCTTCGTAAGCTACCTCAAGCTAAGACTTTTGTTTGTTCCATCTGGCCTCTACCTTATCTGTTTAGGGTGCTTACAAATGAACCGTAAACAGTTCGTGTCGACCTCTACCACCGCAACGAGCCGAGGCTTATATCGCATGCGAGGTGCCTCACGCAGGAGGCCATGAGCGTCCTGAGCTGACTGAAGCGGCCCCTGGCGATCTTGGCACTGGAATCCTGGCCGCAACACACACGAATTTCGTAGCCTATGAGGCTAATTTTTTGGTCTAAGATGCCGCCCGTACATACTGCTAGCATAAACAATAATGCCCAGGGTAAGGGAACCCTGAATGATAAGAAACAATGAAGTTCAAGCACAAATCACGATCAGTCACCACTTTGGACTTCAAACCCACAGCCAGAGAACAACGCATTCTGTGCAGGCAAAGCAGCCCATATGAATAGAAGCACTGCATCAGCACAAATCCTTGCAATCTAGGCCCTGCCCAGAACCAGTTGAAGGGCTTACCTTGCACTTCCCAAAATTCAACCCAAATCAATCCTTGAAGAAAAGCTGAACTGGATAGCAGCTAGACCATTCTCAGCAAGCGCAGCACAAGCAACATGTGGGACCTCTTCGCTGCTCCAAAAAAGGTCTTGTGCACAAGCCTATGTCATAACTCACGACTTTGAGAGCGCATGCCTGCCGGAGATACATAATTTTCGGGATGCAGCCTGAGTAAGGGACCCACGTAATCGATGTGCCACATACCCATCAGAAAAGAGTTGTCACCTATGTATGCAAGAAGCCTCCATACCTTAAGACGGCAAGACTCTGCCTAAGAACCGCATTCACAACCACATGGTGAAAGTATGTGAAAGTACTTGCCTTCACATTGCCACAACAAAGCTATTGACAGTAAGCTGACTAAATCCTCGAGAAAGCATCAAGCGCCCAAGCTTCAACCTACTGGTGGTTTGTAGGGAATGATTGAATCATATCCCTCTATAATCTCACTATATGTATATGTATATATGTACATATATTCTTTCCAAGAACGTCAAACAGAGAATTCCTTAGCATCGGCAAGCCTCAGCTCTAGTGCCCTCATAGAACGAGGCGTTGGATGGAGCCTCCGCAAGAGAAAGCAACGGCCACTGTGGGGTTCACAACATCCGATTAGTAAAGTCTGAAGAGGTTCGGCAGAGGAGTCTGCAATATAACCCCTATATAACCCCAATATATACGCTATTATGATATATAGTAGTTTCCATCTTATTTTCCATTGTCCGAAAATACCCCTGTATAACCCCGTGTTCTGCGTCGCCGTTTCAGAGCTCAGGGTCCCAACTAGGCAAGCAGTTGATGATGTGCACATCTTACAAGCTTCGCGACAGGGAAAAAGAGAATAACAATGACAGTAGCACCAGCTAAGACTTTAAGCTGGTGATGAGTGATGTTGCTCGCAATCCCAGGTTGAGGACCAATCCCAACAACAGGCTCAAAGGTTTTTGGGCCCTCGCACTCGCATGCGTATCTGAAAGGCATGCCGTAGGAAATCTACGTATTAGGCCCAAGCATATCAGTGATATTTGAAATAGTTGTTGAAACTTGTTCCCAATAAGCATCCAGAAGAAGCACCATTTAGCCTAGAGGCGAGATACTCGTCCCATGCCTAACCCTCACGCCCCTAAATGGAGCCCTAAACACCATAAACCCCACGCCCTGAAATGGAAGGCCTCCTGGAGACGACGCTTGACGCCCCTTTGCGGCCCATCCTGGCCAATCAGTTTGACCGATCGGTTTCTTGGGCTTCTTGGAAAAGAGTCGTGTTTTCTAGGAAGGGGCTGTCATGGGGATGACATTCGGATTACGCAAAACACGCGAGTTGTTGGGTTATGTGCCAGGACCCCCTTCTGCGACATAGCTTCTTGCGTCAGGCTATGATGGCCATGGATCCCATGTTGAGGCCTTTACAGATTTGGGCTTGGGGTTGAGGACCAGAGCTGAGTCTTCATATCTAAACATCTTCAAATATGGTTGCATGCTCTGTCCATGAAGGGAACAGTGTGCCCAGTGCCAGGGTCACCTGTCAGGATGCTAGGCATGGCTAGACGCTGCTACACATTCTTGTTGGATTTCGTATTTCGTGCAGGCAAAGGTTTTATACTTATTGTTCAGTTTCCTGTGCAGCATGTGTGCATACTTCGCTTTCGCTGAACTCCAGAAGGGTGCAGGTTTTCTCAGCTTTCAAATATAATATACGCGCAAGTCAACTCGTAGCTTTTCTGATCTGATTGTGAGGCTCCGCGTCCAGCTGATTATAAGCACACTTCCATGGAACAATTCTAGATAGTTACAGCGCTGGCAACTGCCTGGCGCAGCATTTGACCATGCCTTCCCACCCAACCTCTCCTACACGCAGTTCGCCCTCCTAGGTGAATGCTGATGACAGGTTTTTGCTATGAACGACCCGTGGGTTCTTACTTGGTACGACCTGTGGGTGTAAATGGCTCGGTGCAATTATCTCGCTGTATTGTACCGTCCTGCAAGACACCAAGCACTCTCAAGCTTGTTGAAGTCTAGCCAGGATTCCCAACTTACAATGCTGGTGTGTCAGGCTGAGGCCCGTGCACGTTCAACCCCGAATCTGAGTCAGCCGTGTGGCCACTGCTGAACTTGTAGCTACCTTCCTTGATTTCCATGCTAACCATCAGCTATTACCACGCCCGACAAGAGCACAAAGACCAGATTTTCTTGGCACGCACTTGGAGCGAGGCGATCTGGCATGTTGCAGGGCTTGTTTTTGGCTTAGATGTGGCATAGAAGATTGCCAGTAGGAAGTTGCCTTTTGTTCGCATAATTATCTCTCTCGCAGGTTTGCCTGGTATCCACTCTAGACCTTCTGTCTTCTACTGCCGGCCCAAGTATCTTGCCCTGTCTCAAAGAAAGGCCTATCAAGCTAATTTCTAGGTTCAGCATGCCCCCGAGCATTGTGAGCTTTACAGTCTTTACCAAGGCCAAGATTTGCATCACAACACAGGACCTGTGATGCATCCCTCGCGCAAAGTACAGCCTACTCCTGTCCAAGCAGGGGAATGCAACGCGAATCCCTCATTGGGAGGCGATGAGTGCTACAGCAGCGTATACTACATGGGCAACTTTCTGCCTCGTATCATATAAAATATCTGCACATTTCATGCCTCAGCAATCAACTCACACAAAACCCAACAGTGGTGCCTCCCGCACAAGCATGTTCAAACTTGCAAAATTGCACGCGGAAACAATCCAATCATGGACTCATGATCCTTCAACACACACGTCAAAGCAAGCCCTACAGGCGCTCGAATGGCTTTGCGCTTTGCGCAGCTCCAGTCGAAACTAGCGCTATGTGCAACTTCGGACAGGTGGCTCGAGGCTGGTAAGAGTTTAGGGAGTTGAGGTTTAGGGTGTATAGTCCCCCTTAAGTAGATAGAATATGGGGTATATGGGGATCTTATTATACTATACCCAAAGCCATATTCTATCTACTTAAGGGGGACTATAGTGTGATTGTACCGTACGCATGAGGGGCTTTCAAACATCTACGGAGTGGGTCTATAGATTCCCCCAGACGAGAATGAATGGCATTCGTTACAACACACACGCACAGAACCGCAACCCCAGGACTTCCTATTCCTGGCCCTCACGAGATGTCAAACGATGCAGTTTTAACAAGCAAGAAACTGAGAGCAAGAACCGTGACAGATGGATTGCTGAAGGTGCCCATGAGCTTCACAAGGAAAAGTGTTCATCATCAGAAGGCTTACGTCAAACCCCTCTACCTCGCCCATTGTTTTGTTACCTCCTTCCCCTGTCTGAGCCCAGCTTTACGGAAGGTACAAGTAGCACAGGCTTAGGCTTGCGTAAGCGTTTCTGGGTGATCAGCTCAAAGACACCTGCCCTTCAGACGTGTTTTGTCCGAAGCTGGAATATGTATCCTGCGAGATTCTGGTAGAACGTACGCAATTTCATGCCACGGATGCTGCCTGCAAGTTGCATATCATTGTCACCTTCTCGTCCGTTGACAGTCAAGTCACTCAGGATTTCTGCGTGAAAATACGTGGGCCTTGATCTTCACAATAGGTTCTCGACGAGTCTTACGCACTAGAAGAAAGGTACACCCTCAATTGTCCACAATCACCGCAGCAAAGGCATATGAAAACCACTGCATGCCCTATATGACTGTTCAGCAAAAAACAACTCCTGGTAAGGACCCAAATTAATTACTAGGCTCCTACAACTTGACAGGCTATGATGTATCTTTTAAGTGGTCAATGCACAAATCTTCGCTCGCCCTCACCAAAGGGGATCGAAAGGAAGTCGTTCCCACGGGCCTGGAGGCAGAGCCATGAACGAATGTGGCGCTGCAATGCGCGTAGGATCCAAGGCAAGACTGCTGAAGGGGAAAATGACTGTTTCCTTCACCCCAGCAAGGCAAACAACCTCTGGACACTATGCAAGTATCTTTCATATTCTTACGTATTACACAGCCAGGGGGCCCTTCTAACCTCCACTTCAAGTCATTCTCAATGCAAAGAAAAGTCTGTATTGGCTCGGCAACTGCAAGTGATAGCCATGCCGGTGCAACAGATGGGAGGCTCTAGGAATCAGCCCATGGGCCCATAAGCAAGAAAAACGCCACTGCAGCTGCCCTGCCGCTGTTTCATGAAATTGGAGTTACATAGGGGCTGTATTGGGGTTATATAGGGGTTATATTGGGACTTTATAAGGGTTATTGGGGTCATAGACGGGCTATATAGGATAATGCAAAAGGAACTGGAAGCTCCTATTTAGCATCAAACAGGGTACTTCAAGGGCCCCAGGATGACTGGGGCGTTTTGGGATAGTCATTGATTGTGATGTTTATATGGGTTCATTGAAGAGCTTCAGGAATACTTTTTGTAACTACCTATATAGCCTCTATATAAACCCTAAATGAACTTATATACAACCCTTATACATCCCCTATTACACCCCTACTCAAGCTGCGATCATAGAAGTGCCTGAGGAAGGTCCAGGACGTCGGCATCCTCTGCGAGGCGAATCCTTCCATGGCGGTACCTACATCCTAAATCAAGATCCGTATATGGATGTGGTGCAGATGTATATACATACATCTACATATACTTATATGTAAATCACAGTGTGGAAAGTATTCTTTAGAGGCATTCTTCCCTTCTAATCCTTATGTAATTGTGGCGGATTATGGTAATTTCTCAAAATAGAGCTAACCCCAATATAGACACCAAAATACAACAATCCTTATTATGGAGACCCCAAAAAGGTACCCCTAATTTTGGGAAACTCCTGTATGTATGTAATATACCATGAGCCAGGCATTGTAAGATGAGCTAAGCTTGCCGCTTCAAAGCAGCTATAATCTAAATTCCTAGTATCACCCTTGATAAACGCTATAATACTCCCCTATAGAATTGCAGTATAGCACATATGGATCCTGTAATGGTGGAAGACATTCACGCGCAAACTGGCTTGTTGGGCAGCCCCCTTTTGTGATTGTGTGCTCCAACTCCACCTGAAGGCACATGATGAGCGCAGGCAGTTCTGCTTTAAAGGGCCCCTGACACCTTCAACTGGATTTGTGCTCTTATGGAAAAGACTGATCCGTTTCCGAGGCCCCGTGGGTTAGGACACGAATTGGGCAAATACCCTTTCACAGGAGATGTGTTCCCGACCCATGCGGCCTTTACAGCTTGGGGTCTTCGTTGAAAGATGCCCCAAATAGGCTTGACAAGACTGATGCTGCGCTGAACAGAACATTTTGCAGCATGGAGAATGTTTCCAAGCAGACTCACGCGGGATTCTGCTGATATTCAGTTCTGATGAAAGAAACCACCGAAGCAGACTTCATGGAGTTCGGCGCAGGAGTTGTCAACCACTTGTATCTGGCACCGAAACACTTCGATACCTCCCCAGCCTGGCAATAACCGTTGATACCCCAAGATCCTGCATGACGTGTATACTAGAGCACCATGAGGACTTAAGGCACTTGAGAGGCCTGTCCTCATGCGTTCCTGAAGCCCGGAGACACTCATTCTGTAGTAGTCAAACCTGAGCAAGATTTGGTTGATGCACAAAAACACTCACTATAAGCATCTTAGCTTGATGCTGCTTCTTTCCAAGAAAAAACTCCTCAGAAGGAACCCTACCACAATCTCCAACTAAGCTTCATAAGTGACAACTCAGTCAGGGCATCATGTCACTTAGATACAGGGGTGACCGGGCCTTTGGCTGTTCAACCCGCAAGGCCGCCATGTCTGGGTTCTGCCTGAAATCTGGCATCCCGAACCTTTCGTCACTTAGCGGCCCTGGCCTATTTCTGAAACTCTCACGCGGAGCATTTTGTCTCATTGTTCTTCACATTTTTCAAGGGCACCCATTTTCCTGAGAAACTCCCAAATGGCCAAGGCGCTTCAAGACGTGCATCAGGCTCTTCAGGTGCAGGTCGTCTTTGACTTCGAGGTCCTTGACATGTTGAGCGTCTCTCAAAAATTTATGGTTGCATTGTTGAGGTGTGACGAGGTGTCCAGAGAGTCTAGAATTTTTGAGAAACACTCACTTCAATGCGTGGTGAACGGAGGCCTGTTGAAACGAGCTTGGGAAGTAGACCCCCCCCAAAAAAAACAGAGGCGGTAGTCAAGTTGAACTGCTTTTTGAAAAGCATTCTGGTAGGGACCTTCTTTTCCCTTTCACCAGCAGCCAGTCAAGCACTCAAGCATGTAGCGTGAGATAGCGTAAGCAACCACGTTTCATTCGCGTACTTTGGCGCTATGCAAGTCAGGACCTGCTGGCGTTTCAGTCTCGACATCCGAAATCATTACACCTCACGCAAGAACCATTCCGTGGGTGGCAGCATTCCGTACTTAGGGACGTGAATGCAGGGGGCGTCGGCGACTGTTGGGACAAAACATCAACCCGCGTAGGCAATGCCCAGCGAGCTTCTTGATACTCATCCAACTCAAAATGGGCACTTCCGTACATCACTATCTTGAATCTGGCTGCTGAACTGCCAAGACGCGTGAATGTGCCAGCCTGCCACGAAGTCTTTCTTCAACATCTGCAACGGGCTCCTTTGAACTGGGCTGTAATTCAGGAATTCGAACTAAGTTACTATGCAGAAGAATCCTATGACCTACGATATGTCCATATCATGGTATGGGGGTTTCCGACAATTATGGGTACCTTTTGGTGGTCCCCATAATGAGGACTAAAGTATTTTGGTGTCTATCTTGGGGTTCCCCTATATAAGCAACTTACCGGAACTTCAAGAGCAACCCAGTGAACAGAGCATGCATTGGGGTCACCGTCCGAATGCTGCTGGCAAATCCCAGCCTTGCCTAGCGCGGCCCATTTTTCAGTCAAGGAGGCTCTATCCTACATCCTGCTGGGGGTTTTCCATAACTAGGGGCACCTTTTGATGATTTAAGGGTCCCTATAAGGATTACTGTATAGTGGAGTCCATGTTGGGGCCGTACGTGGAGGCCGTAGAAGCGAAAGTTGTGTGGCCGTTGACGATGACGTGGTGGCTGCAGCGCTGACCCTAAAATCCGGAGAGAATGATGATAAAATGGCACGTCCAGCCTCATTTGCTTTTGCATGCTGTGAGCTTTGTGATAATTACACATACCAGAATGAATTTCCCATAGATGCAATTCAATCAATGGAGCTGCTGTTTCAGTCCTGCCAAAAAAGCAAAAAGGGCTGAAGCTATCCAGGATCCACAGCTCAAAGATTCCAACACAGAAGACATATCTCTTGTTTACATGTCAAGCCTTTAAAAAAACTTAGTGATGTCCCCCTAAACCCTGAAACCCACTGCTGCGCCTGCATAGACCTGTGAAACCAAGCTCAGGAATCCCATCCCTTGGAATACCTGATGCTGCCTAGATCCACACAACTCCCCAGAAAGCCCGAGGTAAAGCCAGGCTTAGACGCCGGACCTTAGAAGCATTACACCCTAAATCTGAACCTGAAACCCTGCACGCTGAACCTGCACCGGTCTACCCTCAAGAAAACCCAGGGTCCTCCAGGCTAGGAGGTCCCAGATTTCCCCCTGAACCTTCTGAGGCAACTTCGTCTTCACGCGGGTACACCTGGACTGGTCTGGTGCCCAGCTAAGTCGGGCCTAGGGTGAGATGAAGGGATGTTACATGGATTGATAAGTCTGACATAGGAAGACTGTGGAGATTCATGTGTATTCCTGGCTGTATTCCTGGGCCCCGCATGTAACGGCATCTCTCAGAATGCTGGGGATGTGCGGGAATCAGAAGGAAGGAGACGAAGATAGGCATAGCAAAAGCTGTGCTGCCAATGAAAATGCTACAGCCTTCTTGCGGAGCCATTGCGTCAGCAAAAATTTCAGAACATCGCGCAACACGCTGCCTCCAATTCAACAGTTTCACGCGTTGGGTTCAACTTTTTGGCACGGCGGTCTGGAGTGTGCGATGCTTGTCATGTCTGGTTGTGGTGCCGCATCTCGTGTGTACGAGCTACTCTTTAAAGTAAAGCACGTGGCAGCAAGTTCCAAGCCAGATCTGTTGTGCAAACGTCAGGCAGTCTCAGATCCGCAACGCAGAAATATCCCCATAGAAGCCCAGCAGGTCACCGCAATGCCCACTGAAATGGCGCTACCCAGGCACAGATTGAACCACTCGTCTTTGGCCATGTAGCCCTTCCTCGGATGCACAACAGAATTTGCCTAAAGCTGTTGTAGACTGTAAGGGCTGCTCTGCGAAGGGCTCATTATTAGACAGCTGCGATTTGAAGGGGTTCTAGGCACGGCACATCCTTCCTGCGCCGAGGCGCCAATATCTGTGCAGGCGGGATTGAAGAAACTACGTACAGATTTAGGCATCTTGAAGGACAGGCGTACAAGTGTTTAATGCTAAATTGCTGAACCACTTTTCAACAGGATCTCGTCCTTTGGCCCGCCATTCCATCTACAGTTACTAGTAGCAAAACACATCACCCTTGACGCTATCTTGACACATAAAAGAAATCCGCTGTCTTCAATGGGTCCTCAATTTCAGCTGAAGCAAACAAACTCGAAAACTTAAACGGCCAACCCCAAACCCTCCTAAGCCATGCACAGTTGAACTGCTGATGCCAGACTATGGACCTGAAGGCTGCGGGGCTGCAATCAACATGTGACCACATGCCTGTCTGGTGAGGTGAAGAAGCAGAAACACCCACCCAACCGGCGGTCATTTCTTTGTTTGGGATTGCATCCCTTTGACGGGGTCGCAGCATCGTAATATCTGTCGTGAAGGGGCGGCGCTATGCAAGCATACTTCAGAGCCGGTGAAGGTCAAGAGGAGATTTGAAACTGCAGCGTCAGTCGCAGATCTTTCAGAACCTTCTCCTTATTTAGCTAGTTTTTCAATGGGAAGGCCCTCCAAAACCCTCTAATGCCAACTTGATTTCCTGGAAGCCAAGGAAGGGAGCTGAGCGGCTCCCCAACCTCGAACTTGTCCCAGAGGGCGTGGATGGACGTGAAGGCAGACTTGCTACCTGAATAGGTACGACCCCTTAATCCTGGGGTCCCTATATTACGACCCTGGAACCACGCAAATTACGGAGATTTGAAGGAGCAACACACGACGCTCGAGGCTACATATAGGCGCTGGAAACATGAACCCTGCACAACATAGCTCCCTAGCACCTCAACCCCGAACCAACCAACAGCAAAGGCTTGAAACTTCAGCTGGATGGATGTGAGATGGTCCAGCGATGTGCGAAGGTTAGGATAAGGAGATTATCCTCCTATGTTAGAGAATCAAATGCAAAACCGAATGGTGCATATATATATATGTAGATTATAAACGTAGCTTATACTATATTTTGAATTGGCGTATAGAAGTCATCTGGGGGCAGAGTCTTTGGGTTGAAGCACCCTCGGCTTACGTCTTGCGCGTCAATGCTTTTGAGAACAGGCAGCCAAGGAGTTTGAGCTTTCAATTCCTAGGGGTGGGTTCAGGGTTTAGGGTTTACGGTTCAGGGTTTAGGGTTTAGGGTTCAGGGTTTAGGGTTTAGGGTTCAGGGTTCAGAGTTTAGGGTGGAACCTTGCGATCCAGATCAGGAGCTATACACCAACAGACATAAACAGATTCTTGGTTTCGAAAAAGGGCTGTTCTTAGACTGCGGGTGAATCATTGCACGCCCCTTCATATATTAGGAGCAATATCTGTTCTTCAGCGGAATTTAATGCAACGTACTTCCAGCACATACTCTAGGTTCCCCGTAACCTCTTAAAAATGAGGGTGCCCTTTTTCCTACTATTCAGCTTTAATGAGGAGACCTCAAAATGGAAAGAGGAAAAGGGTATTACTGGGGTACCTAGTACAAGGGCCAATCTGGAATCCCCGTCTCTATTGTCCAAATAGGGCTAGGGCCAGGAAATGTGTACTGGGGCGGAGATTTCTTGCATACTACATCGGCTCCTGACAGACTGGGGCCCTTTGGTTGGAAGTTACAGGTATCGATCTGAGGATTTCCGGTACATGTGATATTTCGGGAGGATTTTGTCCGTCAAATCTTCCGGAATGATATGCACAATATGGACCTTGTCAGCTCCAGCAATCCCAGCCATTATCAGATTCTTCAAAAGTCCGGACCCGCAGTTGTTCAGGGAATGTTGACAACAGAGTGAAGCATACTATTTGGTAGTTTCCCAAAATAGGGGGACCCCAATATAGACCCCAAAATACTATAGTCCTTATTATGGGGATCCCCAAAATTTGGGTACCCCTAATTTTGGGAAACCCCCATTTGGTGGACAGTATGGTCGGGAACCTTGCATCGGGCATCAAGAGCCAGCTAGCTGGTAAGATACTTGAGGCTGTCTGCCTGAGATCATGTCTGTTACCTTTGGACACAGCATACGAAACCCAATGGAACTCACAGATTCATGCTGTGATGTGGGCAGCAGTCGGAGCAAGATCGCTGCTCCTCGTTGTACTGCAGACTTCAAATTTCTGTCAAGTGCGGACGCATACACTTGCACATGTGTGGAGTTTGGGGCCTTCACCCAACGATTGCCCCCAAACCAACGAACCCACGCATGAACTGTCGTGCAGATCAGGCTACCATAGACCAGCGTGCAGAAGTAGAGGTCCAAATCTTGGATTGGCACCTCATCATTTACAGCCACTATGAGGGGAAATTGCGAGTCAAAGCCTACTAAATCAATCAACTGTGCTACCCTGCCATTTCTGACAAACTCCGTCAAGAGATCCAAGCTCTTAAAAACGAGCATGATGCCATCAGTTATTGAGAACAACCCCATTCTCCTTTCATAATCCTAAAGAAGGCGTCACAACCGGCATGTTGCTTCAGAACCACATGGACTAAGTCCTAAGGAGCTACACAGCTGCTGTCGGAGAACACACTGGCAACCAAAGTTGTCCACAGTCTACTGAAATTGCCCTATATTACCCTATATTATCCTATATTACCCCATATTACCCTATATTCCCCTACATTACCCATCCAATTCAGGGCTCCCAGAAAGCTCTGGCAAGCTGCTCGGCCGCTGTAGCGCACCGCCTCGAAGTTGTGCTTCACAAGCTCCAGGAACTCCTTGGTTCGGTTTGTGTGTTTGGGTCCATGCACAAATGGAGACACATGTACATGTCAATGTATCTGTATGTATATATATATATGCATTAGAATACATTCAAGGCTTAATTTTGTCAAAAGCTGCCATTTCACAGGGCTCAACTACTGGGCGCCATGTGACCTGGTTTGCATTACATCTCCAACAGCAGCTACTGTAGTTTTTTCTAGGGTCTAGTGAACCCAGGTTCATTGACCAGACCAAGCTTTTAGGGTCCTTGATGCAAGTCCGGCCCCACTAAGTGGATGTGGCTAGAGCTCCTGGATTCGCGCGGCGTCTGCACTGATGAAACCCTGAGGTTCAGCACCTAAGAGCATTGTTTGCATTTTGGGTATAGTAGGTGATAAAATATACACTTCGAGCCAGATGCGTTTGAGATGACGGACACCCTAAGAAGCTCTGATGACAACGAGGATGCTGATGACGAACACCTCACCATCACCTTCAGATGGCCCTCAGCATCACCATCGACTATCCAAAAACAAATGGCAACGGTCATAGTCTTGCACAACAGCCTCGCCAGTCGCACTGTTCATGCTTGACTCCAAATGCTGCCTGCGACGACGTGTACTACTGCTACTGCTGCTCGTCGTCGTTGTACCAGCAGCAGCAGGAGGAGAAGCAGCACTGGTAGTAGTCGTCGCGGCGGTGGTAGTACTGCTCCTCCTCCTCCTCCTCCCTCCTCCTCCTGCTGCAGCTACTGCAGCTACTGCTACTGCTGCTACTGCTGCTACTGCTGCTATTGCTGCTACTGCTGCTACTGCTGCTACTGCTGCTACTGCTGCTACTGCTGCTACTGCTTCTGCTTTTGCTCCTACTCCTACTTTTACTCCTACTTCTACTTCTACGACGACGACGACGACTACTACTACTATCACTGCCGCCACCGCCACCACCACGACCACCGCCGCCGCCGCCTCTGAAGAATCTGTAAGGACGCTCGGCATTGGTATTCTTACTTGTCCGGTTTGGCGTGCACTCAACTCCAGCGAAACAAACACAATTGGATGCAGTGCCTTCGTCCGATGTTCCACGTCTTCCACTAGCAGCTTCCAGCGTGCAGAGACCCGTGGTCTCGTGGTGGCAACTTTGATGTTAGGTGCTCTGGAAAATCCTAAAATCCAATAAGCTCTAAAAAAGGAAGAACTGCGACCTTGCACGCGTGTGTGTGTGTATATATATATATATATTTTTATACATATATAATATGTACGCCCATTTCTCCACCCCCAGCGCACTTTAGGCTGACTTCCTCTGCTTTGCCATATTCCGGGAAACCCCTAATTAGCCAAGAAAGCTTCATGTAATATAACCTTCGTCAACATATTCAAATATGTCGATACTCCCCTATATAATCCCCTATATAGCCCCCTTGAAGGAGCTTAAACCCTAAACCCTACATTATATAATCCCCCAGGTAACCCCCCTATAGAGTGGTTTGGTAGTGCCCGCCAATCAATGCAGGAAGGCCAAGTCTCAGGAGTGAACTCGCCTTTGCCGCCCACATCCTTGTTGCCTCTGGATGCCAACCTTGGCTTTTCCTACTTCATAGGTGCATCTGGGAATGTCTCAGAGAAATATATATGTATACATATCATGATCCCTAATAAGGATCCCTGTGATCCCTCCGTCTCCTTGGTATATCTCTAGGGCCCCTAGAATCCTAGGACCTCCCTTCTGAGAAACTCCGGAGTTTCTCAAAAGTTGAGGCAGCTTGGTGGTGTTTACCTGCCTAGCTCAATTTAAAGAACCTCACAGACTCAAGACCAAAAAGGTTTTAGGATTGTTTGGGTCTAGGATTTAGGGTTTAGGGTTAGGTGGGTAAGGGTTCAATAAGCAGACGGTCAAGGGTTGACATAGGGCCAAGAAGGACTTAGAGATGTGAGTTGAGGCTTCAGCCCCGACCGCCTATGTACCTGACAAGGATCCCAGGGCCCTTCTTAGCACTTAAGCCCTCCTTAGCACTTAAGCCCTGAGCCCAAAGTCCGAGATCCTGAGTATGTGGGGCATCTTCAAAGGGAAGTTGGGGAATCTGCTGATACAGAAGTTGGGTTTTGTAGGGTTTGCAATTTAAGAACAACCGGTAACGGAGCTCCTGCTGCTCTCGCAAGGTCTTCCTCAAACGCAGGGCATGGAGGACTCGGGCTTTCCAACTTGACCGCGGACAGAGGCATGGGAAAGGGATTATTTCAGTTCCCATGTTATTTTCCCCATTTGAGCCTCCATTCCTCGAATAGTATCCCCAAACCTTCAGGAAAATGCACTTCCTCTATGCAAAGCACGGATTCAAGCACAGGCCGACCCTGCAAGAAGGGCCCAAAGCGGCAAGCGGAAAACTAAAGCCCCGCGGGTTTAGGGTTTAGAATCGGGCGGTAATCCTAAATACGGCCCCTTCTTGACTTTTTTAGTACCCTAGACATTCGGATCCATATTGTGACCGCAAAAAGTACCATAATTACACCACCCCGATAGGGCTTCAACGAGACGGCTTGGACTCAGGTGCAGAGCTCTAGTTAGTGCAAATCTTCCCTGCAGGTGCCAGGAATCACTTGCCCTGGAATCTGTGTAGGTACACCAGTGCAAAGCTTACAAGCACATCACGGCCTAGATTCCTTAGTGGCTCCTTTCACACCTGCACATGTCGGACATTGACTTATCTACTCCATTGATCAAGGGGATTGAGACCTACAGACTCTTGACCGGCTAACTCAAAAGCACCCGACGAAAGCCCTGTGCCACCTGAACTCCGTAAGAGAAACAAGCGAGTTGAGTTTCAAGACCGTGATGCAATTCCAAGACTACTGGAGGAAAGACTTCATTGCTGCTATTGTCACCGGCGCATCTTAGTCTTAGTTGTGTCTAGATTCCCTGATGAATCTTGGTCACTGCTTGTTCCACCGACGAACCCTTAAAACTGCAGAACACGCTGTCTTTTGGACCCTTAAGCCTAATCCTTAACATCCAGGCCAGGTTCTGAAAAGCAATGTCCTTTTGCTTCAGGATGAAGAAACCTATGCTCAAATAGGCTTGGGGCGTTCTCTCCGGGGTTGAGAACCAAGACTTCAAGATTCGCAGGGCTCCTGTTGCAGAAGCACACTATCAAGTAGCTCTGCCTTTCGATGTTGGGGACCAGGATCACTCCTAATGGCCTATAGGCTAGAAGACTTTTTAGAGTGCCCGAAGCGCGGAGCAGTGGGAAGAGCTTCTCAGCTGATAGAAGTTTTGCGGGCATGGTTTTATAGAGGTCCTCAGATCACACAAGTCAGCTTGGTCCAAGCTGGAGAGAAATTGCAGATGACCTCCTAGAACAGGGTCCGTATTGTAACAGGGTCCGTGTTGTTTGCAGCTTGTTACTGGTGGTTAGTAAGGAATGAGCGAATGGAATCCATATATAAAACCTATAAAATACATTCCCTTATTCCCAACTATAACCCCCTATATATATATATATATCCTACTGTAATGTAATGGTCTCCATTATCTTTTCCATCATCCCTATATAAACTGAATAGATTCCCTGATTCCCTACTAACTCTGAAGCCTAAACCCTATACATAAGTGTGTGTGTATATATATATATGTATGTTCTCCTCTTCCCTACTAACCTCCGGTAACAGCTTGGAACAGCCGTCGCACAACTTACTGGGAGGGTCAGGGAGACTTAGTAAGCAGCTTAATAGCCCCTATAAACCATGTAGTAAACCCATTTATCCCCATTATTCACTTACCTACTAAATCCCACTTTTCCCCAGCCCTACCCTGCTACGACTGTCCGGTCAAAAATTGCGCAAGCCGTAGGCGCAGCAGCGGAGCCATTCCCATTGACCCCCCTAAACCCTAAACCTTAAACCCTAAACCCCTAAACCCCAAAGGTAGCCCAGCCAAGAGACGCTTCTTCTGTAGTAGCAAGGCCGTCTCCGCATCGCCTCAAGGTCCGACTGCTATGGGTCTGGGGTTTAAGGTTTAGGCCTTCGGATTCGAGGTTTAGGACGTAGGGTTTAGAGCTTAGCATTCAGGATTAATGGTTTAGGGTTCTAGGGCTTAGGGTTCAGGGTTTAAAGTTTAGGGTTCAGGGTTTTAGGTTCTGAGCTTAGCATTCAGGATCTTGGTTTTGGGTTTTGGCATTGGCGACACCCGTTCCTTTTTGGTGCAAAGCAAATACAAAACCTAAACTCTAAACCCTTAACCCCTAAACCCTGTACCCTAAACCTTGGAAGATGGCTAACTCTAGGACCCTGTGCCTCATCCTCCTACTTCAGTGAGTTGGTCTTTGCTGAATGTGCTCTTATTGGGTGTAGGGTTTACGGTGTCTCAGTGAGGGGGCGCGCTGGTGCTGGAAGCACCCAGGCGCGCGGCCCCTGACCTGCATGAGCCCACCCCTGCTGCCGCTCCACCTTGCCTTGACCTTTACAGGTTTAGGGTTCTCTCGAACTCTGATCGCGCTCATGTCTTCTTATTTGTTCTTCCCACCTGTCTTGCCGGCACGCATCTAGACCAGGCGGGTGCACGGTTTGGGCTGGCTCTGGCTCCAGGCTTCTTGTGCTTATTGAGATTGAGCCGGCCTGGAGGGTTTCGAGACTCGAACCGGGTGGACTTGTCCAGACTAGACCACTGCCATTTTGCTTTTTTTTGAGATGGTGCCCTGACTGGAGGCCTCCACCTGTCTATGGCAGGTGGGTGCAATCTCTGGGCTGGGTTGAGGCTGCTTGGTCTGGGTCTGGAAGCTTTGGGTTTGGGTGGCTCGAGGCCTTTGTTTTTCTTCAGATAATCTTGAACAACTGGACCTGTTTATGGCAGCGAAGGTTTGGGCTGGGTCAAGTGACCCTGTTTGGGGCTGTGTTTGGGCCTGAAAGCTTTCAAAAACCCTGCTTTGCTGGGTTGAGGTTTCAGACCTGAGAATCTTGCGAGGGGGAGGCCCTGGAGGGCCTTGGAGGCCTGGGTCTGAAGACTGTGCGGAGGTGCTGGGAGGCCTGGGAGGCCCTGCGACGCGTAAGGGTCTGAACGCGCTGGATTGCTTGGAGGCCGAGCTCTCAGGACCCCTGGTCCCGAAAGTCACAGACGAGAGAACGATTTGGAGGATGGTGCGGTTCGTCCCAAAGTTTGGGGGGCCTGATTCTAAGGGCTTCACAGCTGCCTGTGAAACTGAAAACTGTCGCCCGACGGAGGGTTTTGGGCTCCAGAGCTGCCTCGCCTGCCGGCTTCGGCGCGTTCGCCCTGCTCGACGGCCCCGGGCTCACTCAGTTTAGGGTTTAGGGTTTAGGGTTTAGGGCTTTGAGTCCAACAAGAATTTTATGGTGTGGGGGGATTATATAGGGATAATGGAAAAGGAAACGGAAAGTAATAGTGAATTGGGGTTATGTGGTTTTTCATGGAAAAGAAGATAGAAACTACAGGAGTTGAGTCAACCCTCTTACTGATGCTCTTCAAAACCCATATGAGTAGTTCACAAAATTAGGGTCCCATTTTGGTCCCTCTAAGAATTAGGTGCTGAAATATAATCTACAACCCAAAGGGGCCCCTGTTTTTGAGAACAAACCCATGTAAAGCCGGAGGTTAAAGCAGCTGCCCATGGAATGTGCATGACAAGTCGCGGATGTCAAGGACGGCCTTGTGGTTGCCCAGGACATGAGAGAAGTAGTACATGTCCTCAGTCGCTGGCAGGCCGCTCTTGGAGTTTTATTACAATAGGGTTAGGGTTTAAGGTTTAAAGACTGTACCAAGGTCAGGGTTTAAAAGCGACGGGTTCCAAGACCCTGCTTCAAGAGATCAAAACTACTGCCCGCAGCTGTAGGAGCATCGAAGCTTCCCATAACGCTACAAGGTCGATTCTTTAAACTGGCGTTGGCTCAGGCTCAACAAATCCAACTTTCAACGCTCACAGATTTGCCCCAACCTTCCAAAGTACCAGATGGTGGCTGAGGGGCAAAAAGCATACCTTGAATGTTGCCTCGGGAAAACGAGTTGCCAACCTACAAGAACCCTGCGAGACCCCTTCAACAGGATCCCTGCGTAGAAGCCGTTGCTTCGGGTTGCTGGTGGCTCGAAAGTCCATAAGTCAGCTTCCCCCATCAACGCATCTTCGGTACACTTTTCTTGCGCACTCGTCTCGACAACATGCTCTCCATGGACGAACTCCATAACAGGGTCATGCGTTGCAGCCAGAGCTTCTACCCAAAGCTGCGAGTAAAGGTTCCTACATGCTTTCACTTCCTCCTTGTCCTAGTTTGCTCCAACGCGTTGCAGCCGAATCACCCCACCGGGCTCTGCCTGTTGACCCTCGTTGTGGTCGGAAGCGAATCGAGGCCTCTTCACACTTGATGAATAGAGACTCTTACCTTCTGGACATTGTACGGCGAGTTTGTACTGAGCACAAATGCTTTTGTTTTCATATTCTGCAGGTGTTCGAGTTCTGCAAGGACTCCGAACCCTCAGTGGTGCACAGCCCTTGGGGAGAAACTTCACCTTAGAGCAATCTCCATAACAACAACATCCTGACGCAATGCTTTGATGAATCTACCCGGCTGAAGAGCAAGCAGTCAGCCAAGATCCCCGCCTATCCTTCGCCGAGAGCGCAAATTTGGACAAGCGTTTGCCTCTCAAGGTGCATTCTTCAGCCTAGAAAAAAATCGTGTAGGGCTAATGGGCAACAGAAACGCAGCCTTGCACTCTGCCTTACTTTTTTTCAGCTGAAGCCGTCTTAGTTAACCTTTTCTCAGGGTTTGAGGTGAGATTCCCGTCTTGTAGCAAGACAGTTGCCGACCCACTCCAAATTGAAGGCAAGCGCCGGGCATCTATTCTACATCGCTTGGGGTTTGTAAATGGACAGGAGGGTTGAATGGACGGGATGGTTCGAATGGCTGTCTCATCATGCATCCCCATGGGGTACCACATGCGGACGACTGCAATTACCATTATGAGTCTAGAGTGGCTGCGGCTCCCACCTCTGATCAAGTAAACATGCTCGCACTGCAAGATCTGCGCAGAACGCAAGAACAAGCCCCTGCTTAAGTCCATCTCTACACCTGGCAGGAGCGGCTGTGACAGTATATCAGTCCTGGTAGGGCTCAGGGGTTGGGGATTAGGGTTCAGGGCTAAAGCAAGCAAACGGCAACACGTTCTTGGGCATGTCCGTGCCAGACAAATACTCAAACCAGCAATGCGTCAAGCCTGATGGAAAATCTGGGATGTCCCTGCGCAAGCAGGAACCCTCAACCCTAAATCCGACGAATACTACTAGTAGCAGTTGCAGCAGCAGGAGTAGTAGTAGTAGTAGTAGTAGTAGTAGTAGTGGCAGCAGCAGGGGTGGTGGTAGTAGCAATAGTAGCAGTAGCAGCAGCAGCAGTAGTAGTAGCAGCAGCAAGTGTTGTTGTTGTTGTTGTTGTTGTTGTTGTTGTTGTTGGCGGCGGCGGCGGCGGCGTGAGTGTTGGCGTTGGCGTTGGCGTTGGCGTTGTTGCTGTTGTTGCTGTTGTCGCTGTTGTCGCTGTTGTCGCTGTTGTCGCTGTTGTCGCTGTTGTCGCTGTTGTCGCTGTTGTCGCTGTTGTTGCTGTTGTTGTTGTTGTTGTTGCTGCTGCTGTTGTTTGCTGTTGTTGGTGCTGCTGCTGGTGTTGTTGTTGCTGGTGTTGTTGTTGTTGTTGTTGCTGCTGCTGCTGCTGCTGTTGACGTCGTAGTAGTAGTAGTAGTCGTCGTCGTCGTCGTCGTCGTCGTCGTCGTAGTAAAAGAAATAATACGAATAAGAAGAATAACACCAACAATAGTAGCAATAATGGTATCAATAACAATAATAATAGCAATCAGTTGAACAATCTTGCTATGCCCCTGGTTTCACTTCGCAAGGCCAGCTTCCTATCCGGATCTCTATGAACCTGCCGTGAGGAAACCTTCAAAGAGCAACACACCCTAACCTTACTGCTTCTGAGTAGGGAAGATGGGAATATATAATAAAGAGAGTATATATGCATGATACTTCATTCCCTCCTTGGGAGGTTGGACTCAACCCCTGAGCCCTAAACCCTAAAACCCTAAACCCTAAAACCCCAAACCCTAATCCCAAAAACCCTAAAACCCTAAACCCTAAAACCCTAAACCCTAAAACCCTATAACCGTGAACTCTAAAATGCAAGCCAGGCCTGACTCATCGACCACCTGGACCAACTCCAGATCTAAAGTCTCTAGGGCTGGCTTCTCCAACTGCACCTTGCAGGAAAAGGATTTAGGGTTTCAGGGTTTTAGGGTTTAGGGTTCTAGGGTTTAGGGTTGAGGGTCTAGGGTTTGGGGTCTTGGATTTCAGAAACTAGTTTAATGGGTAGTTCCCAAAATCAGGGTCCCATTTTGGCTACCCCAAAATGTTAGGTGCCGTAATATACTATTTGACCACAATCGCCCACAAATTTGAGGGCTGGCTTCTCCAACTGAAGCTTGCAGAAGCTAGTTTACTTGGAGGGTCAAGGGGGACTTAGTAAGTAGGGTAAGAATTAGGATAACTAGGGTTACTATCTGGGTTATGGGGGTTATGAACCTGCTTACGAAGCTTTTCTGACCCACCAAGTACTTTCTAGGGTGTACAGCCATCAGAAGCGGAGGCATAACTGGGTTGCTGTTAAGGNNCCTTAACAGCAACCCAGAAATGCGCCATGTCATGGTAGTATGAACTTTTTCTACTGGCAGTATACGTGGAAGCTATAAAGGCTCACGTGGCAGGAGCCTTTTAGGACCCGTTCATAAACATCCCCGATCCGCGTAAGAGCTGCCAGGACTGCTAGGTCGCTTCCATCCTATTTCACAGGAGCAGTCGTGCTTCCCCCTAATCCCTACTATAGTATATTGGGGTTGAAACTACTATAGTATATTGGGGNNGGGTTATAATGGGATAATGGAAAAGGACCTGAATCCTGGGGCAGTTTAACAACCTTCCCCCCCAAAAAAGGATCCAAACTCGCTGCCCTCAATCAACTACATCAACCAAACGTCCCTGGTCATCTCAAACTGAGAAGCAGGGTCTTCGTCTTCGGCGAGCTCCTCCTCTGCTTGCGCCTCATGACTTCGGGTAATGCAGCAGCCTGATTTTTCACTATCGTTAGGTAAGGCTTTAAAGGGATAATGCTGCACTATCCTACTTATTTCAGGCTTCCCCTGCACAAGCTTCGCAACTCTGGTGAGACCTGAGGAGGGGCGCTGGGTTCGGTGTTAAGCTGCATATTTCGGCAACCACCAAGTTTGAACGCGTAAGAGTGGAAGCAAGCATTTCAACATCTGATCTAACCTTCCCGAGAAATGACATTAAATCAACCTGCTTTGGCCTGATGTTCCTGCGCGAACCTAAGGTTTTGATAGGATCTCCTCTGCTGGTCAAAATTTGAGGCCTATGAGCCTGCTGCTTTTCCCACTACCCGCGATATTGGAACAGGCTGAGACTTAGATTTCTTGAGCTTCTGGGTTTGGCGTAGGCATAGATCTTGCAAAGGCAGGGTACACACGCGACAGAAGTCTTGGGAGCCTGACGCGACCCTGTGTTTTTGTATCAGTACTCCGGAGCCCGCCAGGAATCCCAGAAGAGAACTGTGAAGATGCTCAGAGCACAGGGACTGGTTTCACAGCCATTAAATATGTTGTAGACCTCAAAAAAGTCCATGCTGGTATCTCTCCACACCAAAAAAGCCAAACCATGTATCTTATCACAAGGAAACGGACGTCTCGAGACTATAGATGAGCCTGGAGATGAAGCCTGATTTCTAGATGACCTCTGGCTGGTGGCTGGTGATTTGGGAGTTGCAAGTTCGCATGGTAGCAACACTCTGATAATGCGCAATCACGCAAGATTGAACAAATCCAGCTATCCCGCCAGAATAAAGCCAGCTGTTGTCATCGTTGTGTCGAAAAGCTCAGTGTGCTGCAATATTTCTGTAGATATCATGAAATGGGACCTAGAGAGTCTCGGGCAGAGCCCTTTGCTCTTGGACCTAAATTGGCAGCTGGCTACTTAGCCAACCCGGAGTCTTAGCCAAGCAGAGTCACAAAAGCCTCTCAGCCAAAATGCAAACAAGCGCTTCAAGCCTGATCTTTCCCTACGACACGCAACTCAGTTTCAACCAAGTCTCGAATGCGGCAGGATCTATGGAGAAGGCAGACAGCCGAAGGTCGGACGAAACCGATGCTCGGTGGGATGCTCGGTGGGGCTCGTGCCTCAGTCATGAAGGAGCTAGTAGAACGCACAGAAAGAAAGATCGGCTAAGAGCTTACGATGCTGCAAACACAGCACTTCTCCCAGAGCCAGGGATCTCTTGGCCGGCATCCTGCCTGAGGAGCCTTGACTCTAGTCTGGCCTTCTCTGGACAAGCTCGTGACAACACATTTTCAGATCGCCATTACCTTAACTTCAAGCCCGAATGGAAGAAATCTGGCCTCTGGACCAACAGACCCAACAAAAGAGATCCTCCAACCACAGATGGTTGGAACATCTGTTGCCTTCACTTGTTGTCTGAAGCCTATGAAGCCCGCGGCTATGCAGGAAAACCCTTTAATCAAAAGGTTTGCTACTCCCACTCCAATCCAAGCATCATAGCGGTAGAGGTAGTTGCATTTGTGGTGTCAACGCTAGAACTGGTAGTGGTTGCGGGCGGTTGCGGTGCAGCAGTGGCGTATTAGGACTACTACTAACACTGGTACTAGCCAGGAGCAGCAGCAACGGCAGCAGTGGTAACAGGAGCAGGGACGGTAAGCAGCGGCATGAGCAGCAATCGCCGCAGTAGCAGCAGAAGCAGCAGAAGCAGCAGCACCAGTAGCACGAGTACCAGCGTTGGCAGCATGAAGCAATTTTGCTGAAAGATCCTGAGCTCCTGACTCGCCCTGCTCTGGAGCCTCAGATATCTGTGCTGCCCTCCTCGTGTCCTGCAATGGTGCCCAATTCTGGCAGCTGAGTTCATATTGTCCTCACATTGTGCAAGGACTTGTAGCGAACAAACAGGGTATCAAAAAAGGCAACAACAAACAGGAGATAACACGTCAAATGAGCAAGAGTCCTCAGAAGCTAGATCCCTCATCAACTTACTGGCTGTCTCATCGCTTTGGTAGCAGTGGAACATTTATGCTAGCTGCTAGCAAGCAGCACCAGCAGCACTACCACGACCGGCGGGGGCAGCAGCACCAGAAGCACCAGCACCGCCACCAGCAGCAGCACCACCACGAGCACCAGGACCATCTACACCCCAGCAGAAGCAGCAGCACAACGACCACTACAACCACCATGACTACGGCTCCTCCTCCTCATGCTAATGCTATTGCTGAGCGCTGCCGCCAATCCTTTTTTCGCTTTTTTCTTTTGCCCCTTTTACTACAAGTCACATTATAGAAGATTGCGATGGTGACAAGCAAGCATGATGATGACCAACATCATGAGTCATGATGATGATGATGATGATGGTGATGATGGTTCTGATGATGATGATGACAACGCTGACAATGATGGTGGTGGTGGTGGTGGTG